AAGAAGTGGGGCTTTTTTAATAGGTGCAAGGGTTGCGGTAGTAAACTTGCTCCTCCTGACTGTCATACCCTTTGCATACTTTGTGTCAGAGAGTCTCATCGACCCGAATCGTGTCGCCACTGTGCTCGCTTTTCAAACCAGACCCGGAAAAACCGAGCTGCGCGCCTTAAAGTGGCCCTGCTGGAATTGGCTCTACATCCTTCCTCAGCAATGGACGCCGAGAAACCATCGACCTCAACGGCTCCGGCATTAAGGCCTGCCTCCGATATCGGCCAACCGACACCGAAGCCTCCGGCATCGAAGGCGCAATCCTCCGCTTCCACGCCGGTGAAAAAGAAATCCAGGCCAAGTAAGGAGCAAAAGTCCGCAAAGAAGGCCTCTTCCAAACCCCTTAAGGCGGCAAAGAAGGTGAAAGTAGCGGTGGCTGCACTGGGTGATGCCCCTAAAGTGCTTCCCGCTCCAACGACTGTATCAATACCGGAGGCCCAAGTCCCTCCACCAATACCGACCATCCATGTCTTGGACTCCCCTGTCCACCAAATGGAGCGTCCTTACTCCGACATCGAAACGGTAGAGCTCCTAAGTAATCAAATGGATGCAGAGCCTTCTCCGTCTCCTTCCCCAGTGTCGACGGTATCGGAAGCTCCCGACATCGATCCATGTCGGCACCGATATGCTTCATGTGACACGCAGCGTCACCCTCCAGGTCTGCACAATCTGTCGATATCGAGAACCGAGATTATACGTGCTCCTCTCAAAGACATGCTGCCGCTTTGTCTCCGAGACGTCCACGGTCCAGAAGTCTTCTTAACCCCCCCCACCTCTGTCTTGGGATCAACGACAGATGAGATATCTGTATGGGGCTTATCCACCATCCTTGCCATGGCTGACTCCGGCGAGCTATTCCGACTGGGATCGATACTCATCCCACTCTGCTCATAGATTGAGATCGCCCCACAGGTCGAGATTTTTAGCATCTCTCTCGTCCTCCTGCAGACGATCCTGCCCAGCATAACTTGGATCACAATTGTCCTCCCAACCCTCAGGTCGTTCAAACCCCAGTCGTTTCCACCCCCGTCATTCCACCAAGACCTTTAACTGGTCAACAGGACGCTCCTGACCAACTGCCACACCAGGAGTCCTCTGATTCAATGGAAGACAATTCCGATACCGAAGCATCTGAGGTTCACACCTCCCCTGATCATACGTCTCCTAATCAGGCTGTTGCTGATGATTCACCCATCTCTCCATCCGACAATCTCACGTCATACACAGATCTTGTAAAGAGAATGGCCCATTCCCTAGGCCTTTCCGTCGTTCAGCGACATCCGCAAATGACGGATGCGGTCTTTGACATCGTCCAGTTTGATACATCTTCCACTGTGGCATTACCCATGTCCACTGTCCTTTTGCAAGCTACAAAGGCACCATGGGAGAAACCTTCGTCAGCCCCGGTGTCTACAAGACGACTGGACCATATGTAGAGAGTCCAAGAGATAGGGGTCAAATTCCTATTCTCCCATCCTCAACCAAACTCTATGGTTGTAACATCCTCCTCAAAATCTAAACGAACACACTCTGCACCTTCAGACAGAGAAAGTAAAAAATTGGACGCCTTCGGCAGACGCTTCTATTCTACCGGAGTGTTGGGTGTCAAAACCACTAACTAACTATCTGGCCTGCATGAGCAGGTATCAATATACTCTCTGGGAAAGGGTCTCCGAACTATTGACCCACCTCCCAGAAGACAAGCTTCAGGCAGGCAGAGTCATTCAAAAGGAGGGCATGGTGTTGGCAAAGCAGCAGATCAACACTTCAAAGCATGCCCTAGATGCACCTTCCAGGACGATGGCCTCTGCTATAGCACTCCGGAGGCTTTCCTGCCTCCGCAATACCACTCTCCCTCTGGATACCATGTCTTATGTTGAAGATCTTCCGTTTGACGGCCTTGACCTGGTCGAGGTCTTGGCAGAGGCATGCGCCAAGTCGTCAGTCTCCAGACAGACAATGGAGACCGCGTACGTCTTCGGGAGGTCAAAAACCTCCATACCAAAAACCGAGGTTTGGATCTGGGC